TTATTCTCTGCATTTGACTAGTTTTTTTATATCTTCAACAGAAATATACATGTTAGCAAGATTTTAAGGCATACTTTTATATTAGACATGAGCTGAAAGTTCACCTGACATCAATGACCACTCTCTCATTACTTGCGTAATAACTTTTTCCTCAGAAAAATTGAAGCTGCTAGACTCCGTGTTCATACTCATGTAATAGCTGTTATGACCTTAGATAATATGAACCTGCCCAACATGGTTTTCATATTCCCTTCCATTGCAATGTTCATCAGTTTTTGTTTATTAAATCCTCAATTGATCACTTTTGCTCCTTTCTTGTCTTGTATACATCCAACTTCATGTACATGCATCACCATGGCATCGCAAGTTCTCTGGTGGTGGATATCAGCTCAGTATTTGATAAAGCCATGACTTGTTTTACCATAATAAACTTTATCATACCTACTGCAACGCATGCAGTATGTGGTGGTGTCAGGGCTATTTTTGAAAGGCTCTGTTTTATATCAGATTTTCTGCTGATTGCCTCAGTAATGTTACACTATAGCAGTATGAGGACTTAGGTAGTGTAAGGTTAATGGCAGTCAGGTTACAAATGTCAGCTGAATCAGCAGATCATGTTAGATATATGAATGTTTTGTAATCATGCTGACATATTTCTGATGATGTAATTGAAGCACAAAATATCTTGCATGATAAGGCTATTCACTTATGCATACTTTCTTGTTTGGCAGAATTTATGGGAAAAGATGAATAAAATATGTTAGTAGATTGCCTGAGAACCAACAAGATGTGTTCTTATTTATTCATTAGTTCCACTACCACAAATTTCTTCTATAGCTTGCTGATGCATAATCAATTTGGTGTGATAGCAGAGGGTTAGATGTAAACATTAATGAATATGCTAATTCCCAGTGGCTAATAAACCATGTAAACATTAACCATATGTTAAAAATAATGAGGTGATGAAAATTCCTTTGAACTTCTGTGAAAACCAGATTACTGATATTTTGCTTAACAATTAGTCCTGCAGTGTACCTACTGAAAGTTAGAGTGCTTCCTTGGGAAATAAAAGTTTTAACTCTTGCAGGGAGGGCATGTATGAGAACTGTTGCAGGGAGGGCATGTATGTAGAGGCCATTTGACAAACCAAAGCATCAATGAACATTTTTCCCTACAGCATTACGTTGAAGTCGATTCCATAGAGTAAATAAGTAACAATGGTTTCTTTTCAAGGACCACTAATGTATTCTATTTCCTTTATTGCTTACATCACACAACTACAGTTTTCATATTAGAAGTATAAGCTTCTGTTACTCTTCTGGGTATTGAAATTCATGATGTCTTCCTCTTAGTAATTTAGGTATTTATTGTAAGAAGTATAGCCAGGTGTCAGTGTTTTGATGTGGACAAAAGTAGGCATTCAGTGTTACAGTAATGTGCAATAGGTTTGTGGTGAAAATCCAGTTTGATGATGGGACACTCCTGATCAGCATTTTTTTTAAAGAATGGTTAAGCATTTATGCCCTTATATAGATTTTTCTCCTTTCATTAGCATATATAGGATTATAAACAAAGATACACTGTAGGAGGCTATTTTTAGGTGTCATTTTTCATGCTTGTTTACATGGTATCTTAGTTGAGGGAATATTCATAGTTTTATCAGAATAGGAGTATACTATATTTAAGTCATCTTTCATGTATAGTAAAAAATTTCATGCACAGTGCACATGGTATTTACACATTTTATGGATGTGCAGTATGCTCACATTAAATGTTTTCCACTCATTTTTTTTGCTATATCTCACCTCTTCTATCTTCAGTCCTGGGAAAAGACACTTATAGTAAAAGAAATGCAATCTGTTGTCATATTCAAGCAGCAATATAATTCTATGCAGCTTTTTATCAGCTCAGCATTTATGTTTAAAAAGATAATTGAATACAGAAAAGCAAAGTCAAAGATAGAGATTTATCAGTATTGTTGACTAAAAGAGATTTTTTTAATGTATTATTTTTTTCCCTTGTCCAAAAATGTTATCAGCTTAAAAAAGGAACAAAAATCACGAGTTGATTTTAAATATGCTGTCTTGGGTACGATTGCAGACCTGGTAACCATGGCAACAACGAAGGTTTTGTTCTACCTTAGTGGATTCACCATGGCGGGGTATTTTCTCATGAAGCTTGTTGAACGTGACCCTGAGGCACTGCGCAAGGTCAGGTTATTTAGCTGTTATTGTTATTTTAATTTTTAGGATGTGGCCTACTGTTTTAACATTGTAGATATTATAGAATTAATTGCAAGCCCAACTTGAAGTACTGTGCATGTTTTCTTTTGTTTTTCTTACTAATTGTGATTGTCTTTGTTCCATAATGGCAAGTGTAAAAAAGGAAGCAATGAAAGTTAAACACTATGTGGCTGACAAATGTCAAAGGTTGTATATTGCTTGCTTGCAAGAATTAGTATGCAAGTGACATATCTAGTTTTAATACTGAGTGTAGTGTAAGGTAAATTTGAATTTGGATATTATGGAATAACTCTGAATGTGGGATTAAGGTGTTTTTAAGAAAGTGTTTTTATTAATGTATTATTTCCGCAAATAAGTGATTGATATTGTCTATCATTTTTTTTTATTTTTTCCAGAATGGTTCAAAAATATTTGCAAATATGCATTTATATAGTTGGCACATTTACAGGCTTTTGTCTTTGTTTCAGTTCTCATATTAGCAAATTTATTATATGCAGTAAATCTTGACCATTCAAAAGTTGTTTATAGGCAAGTATGATAACCCATGTAGGATGTATATGAAGTGAATATTTTATGTTGTTTCAGTTTGTTAAAACAGGCCAATTCAATTATAATAGGTACATTAAATAATCATTATGTCAATGTTGTCAGATAAAATTTGGAAAGGACATTGGATGTATAGTCAGAAGTTCTGCTGGCTGTATATGAATATGTACATACATGTATATGCATGTACTTCTATGCCCACTTACAGGTGTGAATGAACTCACACTTTCATTCTTCATTCTTCGGTCTTTCTCTCAGAATGGACCACTTAAATGTTCATCCCTCTTGTGCAAATGTGTGAATGGCACCAATGGTAGTGCTGTTGTTTTTAGCCAGGTTGATAAAGAAAAGAAAAGAAAAAAAAAGGTTAGAGTAGATTGACTACATGGCAACTCTCCTTCCCCTTCCACCTTGCATATCGCCACAAGACAATAAGTCATTGAAATTTTTGCAGTTGCTGTTCAGATGTGATTTCTTCACATTTATGCTTTCAAATGGGTTGCATGACATTGCTAGTAATGTTCCCAAAGAATATTAGTAGGGATAATATAGTAAGGGTTATTGAACTTCATAAATCAGGCTTAAAAACATGGGAAATTGTGAAGTTGCTTGCAGATTACACTGCTGAGAGGCTCAAGCTTATAAAGACCAAAAAGGAATGTGTAACCATTAACAAAAGTTGTCTTTGGTAACTTCTCTGAAAGAAGTTCATGATATTTTCTTGTGGCTTAAGCCATTCATACATTTACACCTTTGGGTTGAACTTTGAATGTTGGGTATTGTATATATATGTATATACATACAAACATACATATACATAGTTAAATACATATGTATGTAAACACATTTACACATACATATGGACATATACATAGGAACATATGTTTTAACAAATGTTATAGTTTTGTAAAAAGATTAGACTCTAACTTAGAAAGTGGATGGTGAGGAGTATTGAATAATTACAGAATTTTAGAGATCTATATGAAAAACTTGGTAGTTTTTTTATGATGTTAATTTTTATTATCATTCATCACAAATTTTATTACTTATGTCACTCTGTGTCTGGGAAACATCTAATTGGTCTTGTCTTTCAAATTTAACTTATACTGTGTTTTATTTTATCATCAGGAGTTACCAGAGAGATACCAGGAGGACTATCATAACGCTGCTAAACAGCGTACTGCACAGTTTATGACTGTACTCAAGAATGTAGCAGACGGTGATGACCCAGCCACAGCTTCCAGAAAACTTCGTGAACAGCTAGAAAAAGAAGCCCAAAAGAATTCACCTGTGCCGCCAAAGTCTTCTTGAATTTATTATTATATGTAGATAATTTATGCAATGTATATATTTTTTTGGTAAAACAGAATATTATAGTAGTTGCTTGGAGTAGTGGTTTCCAGCCATTTTAGACATACAAAAATATTAAAACAGCACCATGAATACATCAGTGGACTCTGGGACCCAGGCCCAGATCCTGGAAAGAATGAAAAAGAGAACAGAGGAAATAGCACAGCGGGCAGAAGTGCGGCGACAGGAGAAACAAGGCCAAGCTGCCATGTCAGAAAATGCAGACTACTTCCAGGAAACCTTCCAGAACATGAAGGATGACATCGAGAGGAAAATTGATGATGCAGGAAACATAAAGAAGGCTCAGTTGCTGGATTATTTTGATGAGTTGGTGAAGGATGTGCAACAGATGCAGGAGTTCTTGAATGAGTCATCCATGTTTTTGGCTTCTTTCCAGGTCAAGAAGGCTCAGGAGCATATTAAGACCTTAAACAATCTAGTTCATAGTAAGATTGATGAACTGCAACCAAAGAAAAAATTTGGCTTTGGTAGGAAAAAGACAGGTGGAGAGAAGAGCACAAAGGCAAAAGAATTAAAGAAAAATGATGGTGTGGATGGATGTTCCAAGGAGAAAAATACTTTGGATGAAATCATAGAAAAACAATTCTTTGGTTTTAAAGACCAGTCAAACCAAACTCTGACAAAATCAGCAGAGGAGCTTGACAACCGACAGCTGAACATCCACAACCTTGATAACTGTAAGGTTATAGCCCTAGGAAATCCAAGTACCCTGCAGATAGCCTCACTCAGAAATTGCACAGTCATTGTTGGTCCAACATCAAGGTCTGCCTTTATCAAGGATTGCATTAACTGTAAATTCATGATAGCTTGCCAGCAACTGCGTATCCATAATACCAAAAATACTCAGTTCTACCTCCATGTCACTGGTGCAGCCATCATAGAAAACTGCCATGATGTCCAGTTTGCACCCTACACTATCAAATACCCAGAATTAAAAGAACATTATTGCAAGAGTGGCCTGGATTTGAAAACTAATTACTGGGACAAGATTGAGGATTTCCATTGGCTCAATGAAAATGAAAAGTCTCCAAATTGGTCAGTCATTCCAGAAAAAGAAAGAATTGACAACTGGCTAAAGTGAAAGCATCACAAGAAGAAATATATTTACATGATTCCGAGCCTCAGGATATTTCTAAGACTAAATGATTTAATAAACCATAAATAAATAAAAATATGATATATATATATTGTGCTTTACAGTTCCACTTAAAGAATTGCATTATGAAAATTATGCACAGCATACTTAAAACATGGAAAAATAACAAGGCTGTACTAATAAAATACAGTTAATGCTAGCATATGCCACACTATAATCATCAGTTACCAAAAACTGAAAAACGTTTCTTCAGCTGTAGACTGTTCTCTGCACAAGGTTTTTGTGTTTATGAGAGAGGGCTGATTTATATCTCTCTTGGCACAGAATTATTGTTTTTCATTAATAAAGCTTACAGATCCTCATTATAGCAATAAGATATATTTCAGTACTGTACTTGAAGCAAGACAATAATAATAAAGCTGTTTTTGGAAACAAAAACTACATTTTCTTTCTCTTTTGTTCCTCAAAAAGTAATTGTGGTATAAAAGAAGCCGGTTATTTATGGAAATTTATTTAGGTTTTTGTAAAGGCAAGTCAGAATTAATGTTTGTTCATATTTAGTAAATGCTGTGTCCAAAACAAGAACAAAATTGTTCATAAAATCTTTGAAGGGCAGATCCAACCCCCAAAGGCCTTCTCCAAGTCTGCAGCTACAGCTATGGTCACATGGTCTTGGTAGAGTCCTCCCACCACCTGAGAAGGACAGAAAAGAGATACGGGTGAATTAAGCTAATATCTATATTGGGAATTTAGTAAAAATCAAGTTAACAGCTTCATTCACCATCATGAAATTAATAACACCATGTTTCTCCAAGGAAAAACCATATACATTTTCAGAATTAGCCATAAAATAGTATAAAGAGTTGACTGATAAAGAAAAGAGCCATTGAATAACATGTCATTTACTCATGACCAGAAAACAAGTTCTAAAGTGCATTATATTGGTAGTATAATAGTGTGGGACAGGAAAACTGACCTGTATACCAAGTGGAAGACCATTTGGAGCAAGTCCCAGAGGTACCTGAGTAACAGGGAATCCTAGTGCATTGAAAATGGCAGTGTAGGTGAAGTTCAAGGGTCGGAAGAGTGGTTCGTTGTGGTAAGGTGCTAAAGTCGGATGGCTTGGATACAGCAGCACTCCATTATCCCCTAATAGACGCTTTAATGTAATAGAAGATTGTCATTAAAGACTTACTGATTCACCTTGTGATTGAAAAAATAAAATGTTTTCACACTGATGCTTGGATTCTTTTCATTTCACCATGCTCACTTGTTAAGTATTCAATTAAAACATTGACTTAAAATGACTATGGTCCAAAAAAATTAAATCAAATATATTTATCAAGTAATGCATCCACTTTTTTTTGTTCAAAGAAATAGAGACAGACAAAAAAAAGCTAGAGGAAAAATATTTGAAATTGAAAATACAACCTGCACTCGCATCTGGAGTCTCTTCCACATGGTTTCCCCTTGAAGCAGTGCAGGAACTCTCTGAGTATCTTCTTTTCCTTGAAGCACTTTCTTCTGATCTTTTAAAAATTTCACCTCGCCAGCAAATTTCTCCATTGCTGCTTGAGCCAGCAGAGGTATGGTGTGGTGTGCACGACCTAGGATGAGCCTGGTTATCTCAGTCCAAACATTAATTTCTCCCTAAAGTCAAAAGGGAGAAACAGATGAAGAAATAATTGTCTCCTACATCAAGAAAATCTCAATATGAAATGTTGAGAGAGAAAAAATATATATATATTTATACAGTATATATACAAAATATAAAAAAGATAGCATAATAAAAAATATCAAGGACAATATTTTGTTATGTGTTGCTTTATTTTCCAATAATTTTTTAAAAGGCTTTCCCTACCTTGTTATCAGCCATTTGCTGGAAAATGGGAGTTCCTTCTGCGTATTCCTCTCTTAGTTTTTCTTGAAATATCTGATAAGACTTTTTCATTCCTGGGATTATCACCTGAGCATTATGATCAAAGTGGAAACACCTATTATATGATGTTACAAGACAATTAGGAAGGTAATGTTTAATGTTTGAAAATAAATGTGCTAGACATCAGAGATCATATAGCACTATGGTAAAGTATTACATCGGAAAGGGCAAAGAAGAGTAAAAAATTATGAGAAAATGTGTTAGATGTCAAAGGTTTAAGAATGTTGTAGGATAATATGGTAATGAAAAGGGGAATAGGGTAGCAAGTGAACTAGAGCAGAAATTAGTATAAAGGGGAGGGTAGGGCGATTGAGTGAATTATAGTGTATCTGTCACTGGGGAAGGTATAGGGAAAATGTTTAAGAAGAATAGAGATAGCTATTGAAGAGTAATAGAAAAATCCGGGGAGAGGGGATGGTGTTAAATATCAAAGATTAGAGGGTGTTACAGGAAAGCATGGTAATGAAAAGGAAAGGAGGGAGGTAAATGACGTAGAGCAGTGATTAATAAATGGGAAAGGTTAGGGAGGTAGATCGATTAAATAAATTGTATTGTATCTGTGACTGGGGAAGGAATAGGGATAATAGTTGAAAACGTTATATATGGTTGTATTAGTAGTAGGGGATTAGGTATCTGAGGGTTGAGATAAAAGGATCAGGAGTAGGTGAAGTAATAGTGTCTGCGGATTCGATAGGGACAGTGGGGTCTGGGGAAGGATATTGTGATAAAAGAGATTCACGTGTATATCCAGGAGGGAGTGGGAGGGATAGTAGGGAAGGATGGGGTTTTAGGGGGAGGTTTGGTTTAGGTGGTATGGGTGGTTTGGGTGGTTGAAAGGATGTATTTTGGAAAGGGGTTGGGGGAATATAAGGGGGTAGAGGAACTGAGTGAATTGCAGTGTATCTGTGACTGGGGAAGGAGTAAGGACACTGATCGAGGAAAACAGAGGTGGGTGTTGGAGAAGTAGGAGGAGAAGGATCCAGGGGTTGAGAAAGGGAGACTAGGGAAGGTGGTGAAGTGCTAGGAAAAATGTTTGGAGAGGAGGGGTCTGGAGAAGGACACTGTTGTGATAGAGAGGATTCATGTGAGTATTCAAGTGGTAGAGAGGGTGGGGTATGTTGGGAGGGTGTTGGAGGAAGGGGGGTGGAGGGAACTTGGGAAGGAGGAGGATGAATATCTGCAAATACTTTAAATGTAGCAGGAGTAGGAACAGAAGGATTGGGGGGTGGATGATGGAGCGGAGTGTTCCCTTTTGGATGTCTTCAAGGGTTTCTGGAAGGGAATTTGGTATAAAGGAGAAGAGGAGATGGATATCTGAGGAACAGATGAAGAGGAAGGTGTAGGAGAGAATGTAGTAGGAGAGTGTGGAGTGGAGTGTTTAGGTTGTCTGGTACAACTAAAGTGATGAGGAGGGGTAGGTATCTGGGAAGTGGTAAAGATTGGAGTATCTGGATTTAGGATGGAAAATGGATTTGACTGGTGGATAGGGTTAGTGACATAGGACGTAGGTTTTGTGTATAGGGAAAAGATACCTGGGGAGATGCAGAAATATCCTGTGTAGATGGTGGGGGAGCAGAATGTAGGACTGTTTTGGAATAAGTTGAGAGAGAAAAACCTTGTTGTCGTGCTTCCTGTCTGGCCTCATGTAGAGAGAGGCCTAGTTTAAACCTGAGGACTCCTACCTCACATTCAAACATATAGGCAGTTAAGCTCCTATAAAACATATTATGGGAGTCTCCACAATTGGCACATGTACGTGACTGAGCAGGGCAATTTGAACGGTCATGACCAAGTTGGGCACATAGAGGGCAGCGGGCTTTGGAGCGGCAATGTTTGACATTGATTGACGAGGAAGGGCTTGATATTGTCGGACATGATAAGACAATCCACCAATATAAACCTCATGGTGAGGTCTTGCCTATAGAAGCTAATCTTGGCAACATTGATGTGAGATTTATGTTGGCCTCTATGAAGAGTGTAACACTGTACTGCCACTGTATCATATTCATCAAGGCAGGAAAGTAGGTCATTTTCAGTCTGACCAGTCCTTGTTATACATGGGATAAGCATTTGGGGGAATAGAAACTGTTCCAATACTAATATTAAGAGTTGGGTGAGGTTCGGCAGGAATGGGTTTGCCAGTAAGGTCAGTTAGGGCAGATAGTGCATGAGCTTGAGTTTCAGATGTAACCATGACAAGGCATGAATGATCAGAGCGACTCTGAAAGGTAACCTTGCCTACTTGTTTCTGAAGGCAATACTGAAAGAGAAGGGTATTCTCAGAATAGGGGGCTGTATGGGGAATAACAAAGAATTGATCCCACTTGGCTGGGCCAAATAGAGTACCCAGAAGGTTTGCATAGGTAGAGGTAGTAGAAGGACGAGGGTTGGAGGAAGATGGAGTGGTGTGAGGTGGAGTAGTTCTGCGTGGGGTAGATCAATAAGGATGAATAGTAATAAGAGAAGAGGGGGTTGACATTGAAGAGGGTTGTGTAGTAGTGGATGAAGAGAATGTTGGGGATGAGGAAAAGGTATTTTCTAGGGGTTGAGTAATACCCTGGGTGGGTGTTTCAGAATGGTTAGAGATGTTCATAAGCCTCAAAGAGGGGGTATTAACATCAGTGGTCAGAGCTGTGGTCAAAGGAGGGGCAGGGGTCGGAAAACCATCAAAATCAAATTCAGATAGGCTATTTGGTGAAGGGGTAAGCCTTAATGCCTCTATTGAGGGTAAGGAATCTTCATTACTGGCCATGGTGAGCCTGAATAAACTGGAGAAAAGAAATGGTCTACCCCTTAGGGTCCACATAAGGGGTAAGGGCCAAGTAATTAACCAACGGAATACCGTGCCCATAGCTCCCAGAGGCCGTTCGTGACTGACACAAAGCCAGCCTTTCATCCTTTCAGCACGGCTCTCACACCTTAGGAATGGGATAGAAGAAGGGAATAAAGAAGACATGGAAAAGGAAAGAAGAGAAGAAAGGACCAGGCAAAATTAGTTGAGGCAAGGGCTGACGCCCAAGGTAGGGGTAATCCTCTACGTTGGGTCTCAGTTCCTGTCTCGTAAGCCCTCCCACGATGACAACAAGCTAGGTTTTGGGAGTGTTAGGAAGTCAAGTGTATGCCAATGTTTTGGTAACAAGCACATTATTTATTATCATTATTGTTATTACTATTGTTATTATTATGATTAGGATTATGATTTTATTAGAGTCATGGATGTCAAGTGTATAACAAATTTTTGGTAACAAGCACACTAATTACTACTATTACAATGGTAAATGATTCAGTACATTATGGAAGTTAAGTGTTTAACTTTTTGGTAACAAGCACACTATTTGTTATTGTTAATACTATTATCATTATTATTATTATTATTATTATTATTGTTATTATTGTTATTATTATCATTATTATTATTTACTTATTACAATTTCTCTAAATTATTCAGTGAAGCAATCTGTAAAACACTTCAAGAAACAACTAGCACTATATTCTGACCAACCTTTCGTACTGTGACATCATACGTATGTCGAAAATGATGAGCTACAGCCCTCTGAGCAGAAACTAGGGTGGAACTTATACTTGAAGTCAAGATGCCATCACAATCATTTTCCATGGTAAAGATCTGAAGTGTCCCAGGATCAACCTGTTGAATAATTAATTTATTCATATCATGTTCCTGTTATGCAAGTTAAACTCTAAACTTTTGGCTTTGCAAAATCAGTGATCCTTTTGTTATGGTGTAGCATATGCTTTAATTACAAATATGGTCATCGTAACAACCATTATATTTTAAGCAAAAGTGCTTGTATGATGAACAATAAGTATATACTATACTATAGAACAGAACAAGTCTCAATAATGTTAAACCTACACGCTTATCAAGAGAAAGCTTGTCAGCTTTATCACCAACTAACACCGCAAGAATTGGTGCAAGATCCTTAGCATGTCTTGTTATGGGTCCTGCACTTTGCATTTCACTCCACTCAACATCCAGGTGAATGTTACACCCTTTTAGTGATATGACGCCTACCAAAATAAAAAAAAATTAAATAGAGTTTATATTACAAAATAATGAAAATAATATACATCAATCTATTGCTTACATGCTTTATTGAATTCTATCTCTGACTTTCTGTTAGACACTTCATTTATAACTTCCTTATAACACTGTAAGTTCAAATCCACCAGCATAACAAAAAGAAAAGAAAGAATAAGAAAAAATTAAATAGAGTTTATATTACAAAATAATGAAAATAATATACATCAATCTATTGCTTACATGCTTTATTGAATTCTA